TGGGCGAACGGGCCGGGGAGGGGCGCCCGCCGCTCACCCCTGCCTGGGTGCGTATGGGGATTCCGGGGCCGCAGGGCGCCCAGCCGGCCGCAGTCTCTCCCTCGCCACCGGCGACTCTGCGGCTGTCCTCCCCCGGGTCTGTCTGTGCTCGCCCTTACTCGGTCTCTGGCCGCGTCTCTCGATGCTCCCTGCGTCTCGGTGTCTCTCTGTGTGTCCGCGCCCGCCCCCGCCCCGCAGACGTGTCCCGAGCGGTGGAGCTCCTCGAGCGGCTCCAGCGCAGCGGGGAGCTGCCCCCGCAGAAGCTGCAGGCCCTCCAGCGCGTCCTGCAGAGCCGCTTCTGCTCTGCCATCCGGGAGGTGAGCCCCGCGCGGCGCCGGGGACCGGCCGGCAGCCGCCGTCCTCCTGGTCACCCCGAGCCTCGGGACTACGCCTCCCAGCAGGGCCCGGGGCGGCCCGCCTGGGGATGCCCGCGTGTCAACTCCGGGGTTCTTTGGGAGTTGTAGTTGCCTCCGGCTCCGGCTTGCGGGGGCGGGACGCATCCTTGGGTGGGAGGGTCTGCAGGCCTGTGTTGAAGGCAGGAGGGGGGGTCTGGTGGCTCCCTGATGCTGCATCCTCACCAGGTGTATGAGCAGCTCTATGACACGCTGGACATCACTGGCAGCGCTGAGATCCGGGCCCACGCCACAGCCAAGGTAGGCACCTCCCACCCCATCGCTCATGGGATCCCCGGAACTAGCTCAGTATCTTCCTGATGTCAGGCATTCTTGGTTCCTCCTCTGTGATTTTTGTCAAATCTCTACACCACTCGTACTATTACTTACTTATAATTTATTTTAAGTAATCTCACATTTTAACTTAAATGTCATATAAAGAAATGTATCTTTAGCAACTACAAATCGAAATGTACCACGCACCTGCCTAGAAGATAACCATAAATACCCAGTGAAAACAATGAGATAGCAATAAGTACTGAAATCTGATTAAACTACAGTTAGATGCTATTTCTTGCTGCTTCCTGGAGGCTTTCAGCTCCTTCCAGGCCTTGTTTTTCTCTGTTAAAAAGTGAGATTGGCAAGTGTTGAGTATTCAAGACACACTCGCACCAAATGGAGACTTTCAGTTTGGCATGTCTGAACCATCCAAGGTGAACCAAAAGGGACATCCAGTTGTCATGGAGTGACCTCGTGTTGAACTGACAGGTGCCTCGTGCTTGGGGAACGTGACCTGGCCTCAGTTGCTCTCCACAGCCTGGATCCCCCCAACCCAATTCGTATGTCGTCCATGGAGGGGCCCTTATCTCCAGACGCTTTCTCTCTCCCAGGCCACAGTGGCCGCCTTCACGGCCAGCGAGGGCCACGCACACCCCAGAGTAGTGGAGCTGCCCAAGACGGATGAGGGCCTGGGCTTCAACATCATGGGGGGCAAGGAGCAGAACTCACCCATCTACATCTCCCGTGTCATTCCTGGGGGCGTGGCTGACCGCCACGGAGGCCTCAAGCGTGGGGACCAACTTCTGTCGGTGAATGGTGTGGTGAGTGGGAGGCTGAGGCAGGGCTGGGGGTCACTGTCTGTCCCTATTTTTGACATTTATTCAACACACACTGGTTGAGCACCGCCTGTCTTCGGCCCTGTGCTGGGCACTGCTGCAGACCCTGAGAAAAGTTGGCCTCAGCTCTTACCTTCAAGAACTCCCCCTCCGATGAGAAAGAGAGATTCTGAGTGCTGTAGTCCTAATCCGAGGAGATTATAATGAGGAAGCACAAAACATTGTGAGAGCCCAGATGTGGCACCGGACCAGGGTAGATGAAGGAAGTTTTTGCATAGGAAGGAACATCTGAGTTGGGTTTTGAAGGATGAACAGGAGTTCTCCAGGCATATAAGGTGGAGAAAGGCGTTACTGGCTGAGGGGTTGTAGGTAGGGTCTGTGACACTCTTCTGGGATGAAAAGAAAGGGCTGGATTCTGACGGACTGGGCCCACTAGTGCGGCCAACCTCACAGGCCTGAGTACCAGCCTGAGAAGCTGGGACAAAGTCCCATGGGAGGGCTGTGAGCAGGATAGATGTAGCTCAGCTTGGAGGTGTAGAAAGACCCCTTTGGGACTGTGGGGGATGGACTGAGGGGAGAGAAGAGAAGTCAGAAGGCCAGGGAGGAAGCTAGAGTGAGAATTCGCTGGGGAGAGGACCAGGCCTGAGCTGGGGCCAGAATGTTAAGGACATAGAAGATGGCCTCAGGGCAGGAGGGATGTGGCTGGGAGTTAGCAGATTGTGGAGGGGGGCGGGTCGAGAATGGAGATGGGCCTGGTGGTCTGACTCGGGGACTTACGGAGCATATGGGCCTTTTCCTCGATATGGGGACCTGGAAGGTTTGGACACGGAGCCAAGAGTTAATGATACCCCGTGGGGACATGAGGTTTTCGCACCCAGGGCTGGTACCAGGTCTCCAACAGTCAGTCCCGTTTCCCGGGTGGGCCCTGGGTGAGGGCAGTGGGCCCCAGGCCTGGCTGTCTGTGTATTGCCCCCCAGAGCGTTGAGGGTGAGCAGCATGAGAAGGCGGTAGAGCTGCTGAAGGCGGCCCAGGGCTCCGTGAAGCTGGTGGTGCGTTATACGCCTCGCGTGCTGGAGGAGATGGAGGCCCGCTTTGAGAAGATGCGCTCTGCCCGCCGGCGCCAGCAGCACCAAAGCTACTCGTGAGCCTTTTGTCACTATTCCCCTGGGGCCTCCACTGCCTCCCTTATCCTCAGACCCCTGAATCAGGCCAAAGACTCCTAGAACCTTGCTGGCTCCTCTCCCAGGGATTCTGACCCCTGGCCCAGGCTTTTCACCCCAAGCTGGTCTAGCTAAAATTCTTGGAGACTCAGCTTACTGCCAGCCCAAGATCTGCTACCTACCTTCTTTGGAACCCCTCAACCCACTTCCCTGGTCCCTTGGCTCTGGAACCCCAGTCCTGGCTGTCTCCCAGGCCTCCCAGGTCCCCTCCCCTGAGCCTGGCTCCCCTCTCTTCCCTCTCTTTGCAGGTCCTTGGAGTCTCGAGGCTGAAACCACAGGTCTGGACCGGCTCGCTCACCCCCTCCCCTGTACAGTATTTATTGTCACCTGCTCCTTATTTAAAGATCTTTGACCTTCACTGAGTGTGTGTGTCTGTTTTGTATCCTGGGGTTAGAAGGTCTTGAGATGTAGGGGAGGGAGAGAAGCTGATGTCGAGACCAGGCCCCAAAGAAGCCCTTTGCAGAGTCTGAGAGCAGAGGTAGAGACTTTTCCCCAGGTCTGAAGGCAGAAGCTGGCTGGCTTCTTAGGACAAGTCCAAGGGCAGAGGCTGGGACCCAGACTGGGTCTCAGTGCGAGTCAGAACGGAAGATAACGCCCCCTACTCTTAAGAGAGTCTGAGGGTGGAGGCCCAACCCCTTCTGTAGCTGGTCCCACCGGAGTCCCGAAACGCTGCGGGAGCCAGTGGGCGTTCTCGGTGTGGGCGGGGCGGAGCGAACCATTAGCCTTGTCCGCCAGGGGAGCCCTGAAGGCTGTACTATCGTCTGCGTGGGAGGCGGGGGTGGGGTTGCCGCGTGCAGTTCCCGAAGCGGACACAGGAGGTGCGGAATCAGGTGCACTCGTCGACCCGGCATTCACCCCACCTTCCAACCCGATCGCGCGTCTCCGGGGTCGCCCCCACCTTAGAATACGACCTTTACTCCCACCTCGCCGCACGCGCAGCCCTCCCGTCCCGTGCGGCGCGAGGGCCGGCGCGCGCCACCGCCGGAATCCGGGGTCGCGACTCGCGTTCCACGCCGCGCGCCCCTAACTCCAGGTGACATCATCCCCCTGCCGGGC